ATGCCATAGGCAATGGCTGCACCATTGTTACACATTTAGCTACTACCCAGGGGTCATGTGTAGCTTGAAGATATTACTACGGACGCGAATAACACAATCCCACAACGCTCCTATTAGATCGGACTTAAGGTTTAAAGTGGATTCCGAGCCACTACAAACATCCCTGTACCGCCGGGACTCGAACCCGAAACTTGTGGCACCGAGCGCCAGAGCGCTACCCACTCGGAGACCTCGCAGACGATCTATTCTTCACAGAAATACAGGGTTGGAAATGCTTTTCTGAAGCAATAGGGCAAGCAGAAAACTTGAGAAATGAAAACACTCCTGATAAGTAAATACACAGTTTATCAATCACTATAAATTAACAAAAATAGCATGGTCAGCAGTAACAAAATTGAATTATAGATGCATGTCGTTTTCCTGCAGAATCCAGCTAGATATCCTGGCACTAATAGTCTTTCGAACTTGGATTATTTTGTACCAGATCTAGAACATGGTCACCGTTCATTCACAACTCATATCGACACACACAGATAACTGCTAGTGCAGGCCTCCAAAGAGCTTACTGCTGGAACTACACCTCATCAGATATCTTTGCACTTATAAGTGATACGCGGCTTTCCCATTCCATTATACAACTTCGTAAGGTAGATGTATATACTGTAATTCAGTATTCACATGACCTGTCATGCTATTGCATTAGTATAGTATATGAAATGCATTAGTATATGAAATGAAGAATCTCTGAAAAATCATTAGAAATTCTTCAACTGCGGAACGTAAGAACTGTAGCTTTTTTCCCACAAGAAGAGATATAGCATTTCTGTTCCAAGGGGAAATTAATGTATATTATTTAATAAATACATAATAACAACTCATCAATCAAATCTGACAACAGATAAGCATTATCGTGGATATTTATATTAAATGCAATTAGTGTTTTGTACTAATGAGAACAACCTGCCACTGATACATGATAGCAGATAATCAGTATCGTGGATAAGGAGATATCATGAAATTAGCGATTTTTTTTTATATCGCATAAAAATACTGCTCAAAAACAAGTTTGAATGTATTCCAAATACTCGGAAAAAACATAGAAAATTAAATTAATACATTAAAAACCATAACAACGTTTAATGCATCCATTTTCTATATTGACAAAGATCCTTTTATTAAAATTTATTTGATATAAACCATTATCATAAACAACTTATTAAAAATTTATGAATTTAACTTAAATATTGCTTAAGAATTTCATATTTTTACAACTTTAAAATATCTCATGTTAAAAATAAATTTCTATACGTACCTTGAAGATAACTTGCAGCTCTTCTTCGGGTTCTTCTAAACAAAAAAAAAGTTAATTTTACAATAAAAAACCAATTTTTTAAATTTTGTAATATTCAATAGATTTATTTCACAAAAAATTACTATTTTAAGAGACTATTTCAACTTATAGGTCTAAACTGTATTGTGTAATACTTTATCAAAGATACTTAAGATTTTAAGAGAATATTTCAACTTATAGGTCAACATTGTATTGTGTAATACTTGAACGGATCACTAACACTTAAGATTTTAAGAGAATATTTCAACTTATAGGTCTAAATTGTATTAATGTGTATTGCGTATACTATTCTCTTAAAATCTTAAGTGTCTTTGATAAACACTTAAGATTTTGAGAGAATATTTCAACTCATAGGTCTAAATTGTATTATATAATACTTGAACGTATCAATAATCAAGGTTCCTATAACGAGTTACTTGTGTAGTTTAATGTGTAACAGGTGGGCGGAAAAGTTCATAGGCCGACACATAAATGGCGCTACTAGTTTTAAATCCATATGATTTTTAGTTAGCCGTAACCTTCAAAAGACACGTGTATAAATTTGATAGCTGTTGCACTATTAGTATGTGAGTTATAGCATTTTTAGTGTTCATCACATGCAGTCCACTCGGCTGACTGTCGATTGGACTCCGGTGTGAAATGATAGAGCCATGTTTCAACCATTGTCATATATCGACGCAAAAATTCGGATTTATTACGAATGAACAGCTCCAAACACTGCTTAGAATCATTAATTCGTTGTTGTTTTTTGTCGATTGTGAGCTCGCGCGGCACCCACTTTGAACAGAGCTTTCGCATGTCCAAATATTCATTCACGATATGTCCAAAACGTTCCTCTGATATCTTTAGGGTCTCAGCTATCTCAATAAACTTCACTTTACGGTTATCAGAAATTATTTTGTGGACTTTTTTGATGTTTTCGTCGGTAACAGCCTCTTTGGGGCGTCCACTGCGTGCATCGTCCTCGGTGCTCATTTCGCCTCGTTTCAATTTAGCAAACCACTTCTCTACGGTTGATTTTCCTGGTGCAAAGTCCGAATAATGTTTATCAAGCCAAGCCTTGGCTTCAATAGTATTTTTTTTCGCCAAAAACCAACGCTTTATTAACACACGAAATTTCTTTTTATCCGTTTTTTGAAACTAATAAAAGTTGCTTCTCAAAAAATGCTATAACTCACATACTAATAGTGCAGCAGCTGTCAAATTTATACACGTGTCTTTTGAAGGTTAGGGCTAACTAAAAATCATATGGATTTAATACTAGTAGCGCCATCTATGTGTCAGCCTACGAACTGTTGAGCCCACCGATTACATCATTAATTACACAAGTAACTTGTTCTAAGAATTACTCGTTATAAGAACTGCTCATCGTACTACTTTTAATGTGTAGTTTCACTTCATGAGCAAAAAATCAATCTAATAAGAATTTAATTTAACATTTTTCAGTATTACTAATTTTCAATTAGGATTAATTAAAAGGTCAATCTTACATGTTTTGCTGCATAAACAGCCTAAAAATTAATGTTTTTCATACAATTGTGAATGCGACTCAACATACAATCAAAAACTTCATTAAAACATAATTGTTTTTAAATTCTACTTACATTAAAACAAATATTTTATTTGAATACTTATTTAAATTTCTTACATATTCATTTTATAAAAAATTTCTTGCTTATGTGATGAAAAATTCTTGATCTATTAAAGAAGTTAAAAAATTCTGATTGAAAAAAAAATAGCCGACTTTTTTTGCTTATAATAAGTTGGATATCATAGATTAGATATTATTTATTAAAAATAATTGTTAAAAGTAGCACATTTTATGTACTGCCCTAGATATTAAATGGTTGGTACACCCATGGTATAAGTACTATCACTAAAAGTGTGATTTTAAGTTATCTTTTATATTCGAATTGTATTTAAAAATTATTTTATTTGAATATTTATCTACATTTTTTTATATTCACTTTCTAAAGAAATTTTTAAATTTTTAAACCTATTCAATGATTTAAAAAATATAACATATTCTGGATGGTTAAAATATTGAATATTATTTTTCGACATTTATATTTATAACAATCTGGATATTACAAATTATATATTAATAACTACTCTGAAGTGACAAAAGTCATGGGATAGCAATATGCAAATTTTCAGATGGCAGTAGTATCGCGTAGAACAGGTATAAATGCGCAGTGCTTTCGCAGAGCTTTCGCAGAGCTTTCATTTCTGTTCAAATTATTCATATGAAGAGGTTTTGACGTGATGATGACCGCACGACGGGAATTAACAGACTTTGAACGCGGAATGTTAGTTGGAGCTAGACGCATGGGTCATGCCATTTCGGAAATCGTTATTGAATTCAACATTCCCAGATCCACTGTGTCAAAAGTGTGCCGAGAGTATGAAATTTCAGGCATAACATCCCACCATGGACAGCGCAGTGGTCGACCGCCTACAAACCGTCGACCGACTTAACGACCGAGACCGGCGACGTCTACAAAGAGTCGTAAATTCTAACAGACAAGCAACACTGCGTCAAATAACCGCAGAAATCCATATGGGACGTACAAGGGACTTGTCTGTTAGAACTGTGCGGAGAAATTTGGCTTTCTTGGGCTATTCCAGCAGAAGACCGACTGGAGTGCCTTTACTGACAGAACGATATCGCTTGCAGCGACTCTCGTGGGCGCGTGAGCATATCGGTTGGTCCCTAGATGAATGGAAAACCGTGGCCTGGTCCGATGAGTCACGATTACAGTTGGTAAGAGCTTATGGTAGGGTTCGAGTGTGGCGCAGACCCCACGAAGCCATGGACCCAAACTGTCAGCAAGGCACTGTTCAAGCTGGTGGTGGCTCCGTAATGGTGTGGGCTGTTTTTTCATGACATGGACTTGGTCCTCTGGTGCGATTGGACCGAACATTGACTGGAAATGCTTATGTTCAGCTACTTGGAGATCACTTGCAGCTATTCATGGACTTCATGTACCCAAACAACGATGGGATTTTTATGGATGACAATGCGCCATGTCACCGGGCCACAACTGTTCGCGATTGGTTTGAAGAACCTTCTGGACAATTCTAACGAATGATCTGGCCACCTAGATCGCCCGACATGAATCCCATCGAGCATTTATGGGACATCATCGAGAGGTCTGTTCGTGCCCAAAATCCTGCACCATCAACGCTTTCACAATTATGGACGTCTATCGAGACAGCATGGCTCAATATTCCTGCAGAAGACTTCCAACGACTTATTGAGTCCATGCCACGTCGAGTCGCTGCACTTCGCCGGACGAAAGGAGGGCCGACACGATATTAAGAGGTATCCTATGACTTTTGTCACTTCAGTGTATTTCTAGAATTAGCATATTTTATGTGCAGCCGTAGGTATTAAAATATTTACCACCAGGGATGTAGATACTTTACTCACGTGTGAAATTTATTCAATGTAGATATACTTCAATTTAGTTCTTTGAAATTGAGTGATAGTATTGAAGAGACAATACTGTGTTCTCCCGTTAATAATATAATTATTCACCTTCAGATGATTAATGTGAACTATTTAGAATATATCGAGTCACATAGGCCATTGTAACTGCCGATCATTGTAATTGCCTAGCATTGTATATTGCTGAGTATTAGTTAGACTAGACCAGGAGTACCGGTTCTCGTTAGATCACCGAAGTCAAGCATCATTGGGTGCGGTCAGTACTTGGGTAGGTGACCACCTGGGAACACCGCGGGCCATTGGCATTCCCAAATTTGGGACCTGAATGGCCGAGTGTCTAGCGCTCTGGCGCTCGGTACCACAGGTTTCGGGTTCGAATCCCGGCGGTGCCATGGATGTTTGTAGTGGTTCGGAATCCACTTTAAGCCGTAGGTCCCGGTCTCCTATGACTGTAAGAGCGTCACGAAGCCAAAGTCAGACTTCTACCTACGGGTTCTCCATCACAACAGAAGCTGCTTCCTTCCCCTTCAATCTTGAGTACGTATGGGCTCGCGGGCTTGGCCAGCCAAGTGGGATAAGAAACAACAAACAACAGACTAGGAGTGGGGAGCCAAAATGATCTTGCGTGCCACTTTGGAAATGCATCTAATTCCGCGGGCCGCATATAAAATCATATAGTATATCCCCATATTAGATTTAGATCCACTATAGACATTTTATTGGAGTGAAAAATTGAAACATTAGGATTTATTATTATTGTGTTTACTGTTGTTCTTACATGTAAACACGGACAATGTAATAATAATGATACTAAACGCACATTGTATGGAAATATATAACACTAAAAATGAAATATAAAAAATATATAAATATAGACGAAATAAAAAAAAATTAAATCATTAAAAAATATTTATTTTATTAGTGTGATATTTGATTCTCGACTCTTTCACTTAGTTTTTGCTAATCGATCTCAATTTGGGTATTTGTACATCGTAATTGCTGTTGCAGGTTAGCGTCTGTTAGGTTTCAACGTATTTTATGTTGGGTCAATTTCAGTTTAGGAAAAAACGATTCGCAGGTGTAAGTTGAACCAATAGCGCTAACAACTTTTTGTACCAGATTTCTCAAATTGGAAAATTTCTCTCTCTCTCTCTATATATATATATATAATAAATATCTGGCAATATCTGTCATATATACGCAAGAATATTATTTTAAAATAAAAGTTAATTTTCTCATTATTTCGACAGTTAATTTTTGAATATATGGATACACACATAATGTATTTTTTTACTACATTGGTTTTCACTACTTTGGCCATTATAAAATAAATATATTTTGTTGTTGTTGTTGTTTCTTATCCCACTTGGCTGGCTAAGCCCACGAGCCCATATGGACTCATGATTGAAGGGGAAGGAAGCAGCTTCTGTTGTGATGGAGCACCCGTAGGTAGAAGCCTGACTTTTGCTCCGTGATGCTCTTACAGTCATAGAAGACCGGGACCTACGGCTTAAAGTGGATTCCGAACCATTACAAACATCCATGGCACCGCCGGGATTCGAACCCGAAACCTGTGGCACCGAGCGCCAGAGCGCTAGACACTCGGCCATTCAGGTCCCAAATATTTCAACGGCACGCAGTGTTCCCAGGTGGTCACCCACCCAAGTACTGACCGCGCCCAATGATGCTTAACTTCGGTGATCTAACGAGAACCGGTATATTCAGCATGGTACGGCCGTTGGCCATATATTTTGTAAAAGTGTGATAGCTCTCAAGTATTCAAGACGGGCCACGGGTTGGCCATTCTGGTCTATAATATCTAAAATGTCTACAAGATATGTAAAAATAAATAATAACAAGTAAAGTGATAATAACTTAAACTTTACTTATAAATAAAACTTAAAGTGTTCCCATGAACCAAAAAGTGGCTTTCTTCTTGAAGCCGTTACAGGCCTAGTATACGCCGAGACGTTACAAGAGTCCTTTATTGAACAGCAATGTAGTTTTTATAACAACTCAAATTGAATAAATAATTCAAACTACAAGATGTCTGAAATTAAATTCCTTCAGTATTTTATATTTGAACTACAAAAATTAGTAGACCTCAATATGATATTTCTTGATGTTATGAATTTCAAAGATAGTATTCTCCAGATTTAACAACTTTGGATGCTAATGATTATGCCTATTTGACGCCGTGCACTAATTTTCAGGAAACGAGGCAGCTGCTATTAATACCATAATTGTCAATCCGTGTCATGAAATTGAGTATCTCTTGGACTTACTACGAGCAGTCTAGAGATATATATTCAAAATAATCATTTTTTTGTAGTTATATTGTAAATTAGAAAAACATTTTATTTCTATCCCGCTTAGTTTATTTAGATGCTTTCTGTAACGTGTTTTTTTATTCTTTGGATACTAGGTATAAATAATTATAAAGACTATAACTTAACGTATATTTAAACATTTAAAGAAAATCGCGTAGTAATTTTAAAAAACCCCCATTTAACATACATTCTTGTATGATAGAAGGCTCCTCCTCCAACCACTGCTATCAAAATCAGAATCATCAATGCAGCACCTCCAGAATAAATCTCAATCTTATTTGAGTCCGTTTCGTCTCCTAACAAAGCTGAAAAAAAGAGAAAGAATTATTCGAAGTAAATATTTCCTACTTTTCAGTTTTTTGAGAATAAGAATGAACATGTCATGGCAATGAACCTTAGTAAGGATGAACAAGTAATGGTAATGAACCTTAGTAAGGCTGAACATGGCACGGTAATGGACTTTAGTAAGGTTGAACATAGCATGATGAACCTTAGTAAGGTTGAACAAGTCATGGTAATGAACATTAGTAAGACTGAACATGTCATGGTAATGAACATTAGTAAGGTTGAGAAGGCATAGTAATGAACATTAATAAGGTCGAGAATGGCATGGAAATGAACATTAGTTAGACTGAACATACCATGGTAATGAATATTTGTAAGACTGAGCATGCCATGGTAATGAATATTTGTAAGACTGAGCATGCCATGGTAATGAATATTTGTAAGACTGAGCATGCCATGGTAATGAACCTTAGTAAGGCTGAACATGGTATGGTAATGAATCTTAATAGGGCTGAACATGCCATGGTAAAGGAAAATCAAGTTTATAGTATATTCAGGGAATAATAATAAACCATGTTTGCTAAATTAGTTAGCACTAATTTATTATTGCTAGCTATTTTTTGTGTTACTTAAGATAATATAATGATTACTTTTTCAATAATTAATTATCTAAAACATTGTCAAAAATGCTTTCTTAAATTATTTTTTTCTATCTAATAATTATATCAAAACGGCTGTTTTAGTATATGTTGGTAAAATAATAATATATTGTAATTGCGCTTTCTCTTACTGTACTCCCTGTGGCGCTCAGGAGAAAGGATCAGTAGGCCTCGAGACACTCACCCGAGAGGACGTACAGCGCAACCGGCGCTGCCACTGAGAAACTTTTAGTACAGCGCAATCACGCGCTTCTGTTGAGAAACATTTACTTTGCAATCTCTCATCCAGAGAAGAAATATATTTGACGCACTCTTCGTATAAGTTGACCTACAGACTCTCACCCGGAGAGAAAGTCTATTTCACGCATCCAATGCGTATCTAAATTACATGCCTTTAAATGTGTTAAATATTGTCATTTAATTGTATGTGTTTGTGATATTTATGCTCGTGCAAAAAACAGCTGTGTGTTCTCAAATCTGTGTCTCAAATCTCAACCCAACGACATCCTTTTACAGTCCAGCTGCACAAACAACGGCAACACTACAATCTTAGGTATATTAAAATCTTCCAAGGATTTTCAATGTATAACATTAAAAAAATAACTACAAGTTTTTTTTTCCTAGTGTGGGTTCTTTACCACTCTCGTTTCATGATTGATGACTATGCCAATTAGTTGAGATTTGTACAATGATAGTCTTTCCACTGGTTATCCTTTATAGAGTGAGGGGAGATAACTATTATGAGATCTTACGAAACTAATTGTACTTGATTTGCTTATTGAATTAATCAATCAACTACCATTATATCAATCATGAAAAATCCAATCAAGAAGTTTGATTACTGATGCCGATGAGAGACTATTTGTCCCACTCTCCACAGAATCTACTCGACTTACAAAACAGTGGTCGTAGATCTCACATTTAGAGGAATCTATGTATCATTCTTCATATCAACATATAATTATCACTAGTTTACCAGTAAGATATTATTATAACAATTATTTAAAATTTTGAATTTGTTTCCTATATAAAGCCTTTGTGTAAAACTGGTTTCAGTTAGCATTTACAATAAATCCAAAAGTTGAATGAATTCACATTCTGTGCCCACTACATATTTTTCATTTTCATAAAATTCCACGTACATTTCATTTTCATAATTACGTTAAAGAAGCATGAGAAAAATTTAGCAAAATAAAATATTCATAGAAAAAATATTAACTAAATAACTTACACGATTTGGTAAAATTGTCAACTATTGTTTCAAAAGACGAATCGGAAGAAGAATATATAAACAATAAACAAAATAATAAAATAAAATGCAAATCTGGAGTGATGCACAATTTCCTGATCAAAAAAATAAATGATCTCAATTGGCGTTTTCTATAAGCCTGAATTAATATATTTTAAAATAATAATATAGTATATATTTATATGCATTAATATATTTGATAATTTAAAATTAAGACTTTTTATACGAAAGTTAAATTAAAACTCAGTCATATTCATTATTCTTATGGAAAAGTATCACACAAAAACAAGAATGTAGTATAGGAAGAAACAAAGTTACCTGATGAATCTCTCGTCGAAGACCTTTCCGCTGGAGTGCTTGTCATGTCTGAAAATTACATTGTTTGAATTATTCATTACGTACAACTTTAAAAATAAAACTGCAATACAGAAATAAAGATTAAAGCAAAACAAGCTTATACTTTTGCTTATGGAAATTTTCTACAGAAAAGACAAAATGCATCCATATATCAGTATGGAAATTACCTGCTCAGTGAGTCAACAATGGGCTTTCCGATATATTATTTGTACGTCTGATGAAATGCATTAAAAGACATTGATGATTTGAAATAATTTCAATATTGATATAAACATAAAGAAATATAATTTTATGTTAATTCTATACAATACAAAAACAAGAATACGGTATTAGAAAGAAACAAAATTACATGTTGTACCTGGCGTGGAGGAGCGTGCCGCTGGAGTGCTTGTTATGACTGAAAATTATAACATAAGA